GAGACAGGGTTTCTCTGTGTAGCTTTGCGCCTTTCCTGGAGCTCACTTGGTAGCCCAGGCTGGCCTCGAACTCACAAAGATCCGCCTGCCTCTGCCTCCCGAGTGCTGGGATTAAAGGCGTGCGCCACCACGCCCGGCAGAAATTTTTAATGGTTAAAAGTTTACAGCTCTCTGAGGTTTCTAAAAGTTCCATTCCATATGCTTTCTTATTATAATATATGACTACTAATTAGATTCCACTGAATATGTTTACAGGGGACATTATAGTTTTACTATTATGGATAAATATTTATGTTAGAAGTAATAGTATTTGAATTTATTTGAGCCTTCTTTAACTGTGGTTATCAAAATAGATGTGTTCAAAGGATACTTGATCAGAAATATATGACTGCCTTAAGAGTATAATACAAATTCAAGGCCAAACCTGTACAGCATATTGTCATATTTCTCCTATTCACTATAAAACATGTACTTAACATTCCATAAGTTTATTTTTCTTCATGGAATTATCTCACTCAATAAATGTCAACAAGCCCTACAAATTATATCAGGCAGAGTAAATATTTTCCAAAAGCATTATATTTAATTAGCACCTATTGACAGCTGTTATTAACATGGAATATGCAACACAAGCTGCAACATTTCCCACAGGCATTATGTGATATTATAACTGACTAAAATAAAATGCAAATCCTAAATATAAAATTTACAAACTACATTCTCTTTACTTCATTCAGCAACTGCTTAAAGGCTTACTTGGCTAAAAAGATAACTCAATATATTCTTTACTACCATTCCTATGACATCAATACATATAGACTTGTGTTGGCATTAAGGAATCATATTCAAAATAGCAATTTCCAGAATGTAATGACAACCCTGGCAAAACTAGTTACTAATCACAACTACTATCAATGAAAATAGAAAAGAAAAGAGAAACCTAACATTCAGAAGTCACACTTCTCTCAGCACAAAGTCAGAAATAACTGTTCACAAAACTTGTTTTGGAACACTGATATCTCT